TAATATTGATGTATCTCGTTTAACTCGAGGGAAGAGATACGTAATTAATTGAATAAATAATTGAATCGGTGCATTGGTTTATCAACCAACAAATGATATATATAATTGAGCTCGAATTCAATAAAGCCTTTACAAACCTAATCGATATCCTCGCGAATCATGGGTTGTCAAGAAAGGCTAAATGGACCACTCTTCAAGCTTCCATCACTTCACGTCTTTATTATGTAAATGTCAATGTTCAATAAGTAAGAAACAGATAGGTGCTCGCTCGATGAAATCTATAATCCTATTACGATGGTAAAAATTGATCAAGGTGGGGATGCATGGATAACTACATCCATTAAAAGGGAAAGGCTAATGTGTTGTGAACGCATTAACTGTATGTTTAATGATAAAATACGGCATGGTCAGAAAGTCACTACGATTCGTAAACTGGTAGACGTGATTTTGATGTCACTCCAGAGACACATTTTGCGCATTCAGAAAGAGCCTACAATATAGATGATTTAATATTGACATCATCAAGCGCTTATATGAGTGACCTGAACTCAGAACGAAAACAAAACACCGTGGATTGCAAATACCTGTCAGCACGAAATTCGGGTAGCTCATCGAATCTGGAAAATCGTATTGATAAAGGCGCGAATATATCCTCTTACTCTATTTGACCCTGAACCATCAACGAGAAAAGCCATATTGCTGATATGGTCAACATGGTCTGCAGTGTACTTGTATTCTTGCGATGGATGTCGGAACATCCGAAGAAAAGCTACATCGATAAAAAAACATAGGCATTGTACTGGAACTAGAAAAGATTGTCATGACGAGGAGATAGGGAAGAAGGTCTACTCTTTGAACATAAATTAAAGCACGAACGATTGCGCACGGGCTAGTAGTATCGTGGCTAGTAAACGTCTCAGCTTACTGTGAGACAAGCGTTGTCACGACCACGATGCCCACTCCGCGGTGCCTCTTGACGTACCTACATGACATGTAATATCAAATTATCGTAGGTGATGATGACGACGTGATGTGCGTCTCTAGCAACAAATGTGGTGTCCAACAAGTTGTTCCGCATTATATGTGATTCGGAAAGAATTGCTAAGCTCCAGGAAAATCGATGTATCTACATGTATTAACGTCATATTATGTAGCTACTAGGGACGGTCAGTTTAAGCAAATATAATGTGTGTAAACGTTCCACTTCCTCTTTTGTTCCTCACTTGTTGGCGTTACTTATGCCCAGTGTAGCTGTCTCGACATTCCGGATTGAAGCAAATGGAATAACTAACGCATATAGGCTTCCATATTGAGAGCCTCATTGCATCAGTCAATCTTGCAGGCAACGTTTTGTTATAAAATACTAATAATCGCTTATTTCTTTGTGTATGTACTTTTACGTTCTTTTGAATAAGTGTGAACGTCAGCGTACTTTGCAAAGAGACGATATTCTCTATAGATTATTTACCGGTTTACATTTATGGCAGGCTGATATGTCTCATATCGCTCTTATAAAAGAGATGCAAGCTCCTCGGACATTACGCGGGACAATGTCATTTTTTTGATAATGGTCCGACACGGGGAACATACTTGTCATAGCTGTCAAACATGTATCGGGTTAGTATGAGCCATGAATCTCCACGGTTTTTGCGTTTGATTAAATAAGCTCAACTCACAAAGGCGTGTGATTTTGCAAATGTTGGCACCGGCTGTGTCAAGAAACGACAAGTATTTTTACATAGCATGAAACAAATAAAGCGAAGTGAGATTAATTGCCAACGCTGTGCTTGCCAGATGTACCCATGTCGTGCATTGTATCAATATCGTACATATCAAGTTCATCGCGTTTTTATGCAGCATCTCGATTCATGTTAAGTGGCCAAACTTTACCGGGCACATTCACTGATTTGACTTGTTGTAAGTAATCTGCTCTCACATGTTGCAGATACGTTTCGAACAATGCTGTAGGAGTGACCTTAATTATTGTCAAGACACGACGATCAGTTATATTATATTAGTATCTGTGCTGAGAACCATTCAATCATATACACAGATTTTCTTCAGGCTACCTATAATATCTGACTACCAGTACGTATGCTAACTACATACATTATGAATTTAGTATCATTAAAGGCTGAATATTTTGTCAGATATGAATGCATATAGCTGTCAATACGATGTGCGCCGTGTGCTTCTGGATAGTATTGCTTTCAAAGGTGATACTTCCCTGCTAATTCTTTGTAATTCTTCTCATTTGTTTAATCTATAAAAGTATAACTGTTCAGTACTATCTGCTATGACATACTTCGCCTGTTAATGTAATCTAATGTCAACTTCATGCCACGAGTTTACTCTCTACATCTATCTTTATATTGAAAATGAAAATACTAGGGCGTATGTGAATATAAATAGGCGACAAAAATATGCATACGTCTCGTGCATGATACTTTAAAAATGTAGGATGGCTTGCTGACCCCTTGATATCGACGTCGATCGATACCTCCGTTAATAAAGCCGAGGACTACGCATCATGATAGTAGAGCGAAATGATAATCGGGTTGTCTCGTCCGTCAAGAGAGCGTGGAGCAAGGTCATCGTGATGACGATCACTGACTTGAATGAGTATACAGCTAATGTCACGTGTGAGTGCCGAAATGAGTCATAGTACATATATAGTACTGAAGGTTCATCAAATAGGTAACTAGACGTTTAAGCACCTGCTTTTTGCACTTGATACTGTATGTGCTACTTTGGCATTCATTCCATCTTCCTGAGTATACAGCATACCACTCGTATGATATTTTTCTCGCATTCTTGACTTTTCGATTAAACCGGTGGGAGTTTTTGAACACGTCATACGGATTGCCTTCACATTCTCTTATAAGTAGTGAAAAAATTGTAAACAGTGGTATTTTTGTCTCTACAGATTTGTGCAGAAAATGAACATGTCCTTTCAATTTGCACGCACTGTATGAAGCGATATGTAGAAGCGGTTCCGAGGAGAATACACGCAATGACCTTGTATCGGCATTCATATTAAGGACATGTAATGATGTACAGGTTGTTGCTAAGAAGCTGTGAGGATTAATGGACAATAGACGAATGTGCTCGGGTTTTGGCTGTACTTATACCTCATTTTGCAAACGGTTTCGTCCTCGTCTGTTGAATCTGGCAGCTTGCCTCCGTTATTAGTGTGTAAGTGCTGTGACTATGCAGAAAAACGTATAAGCCACAAACGAACTTACTGCATAGCGACAACGCGTCGGCAGCCTCCCCAATGTCCTACGGTCAAATCAGGTATGTGATGGGGCACCGATGTTTGTACCGACACAATGCAAGATACCTACACTAACCACAGTGTATGCATGTGTCTCGTCACATCACATACAATATACGTGCTGAGGAAGATAAATTATACTAAACGAACACGCTTAGACGGAAAAAGTAGACATGTATGCGATATAGTCAAGGTTTCATCAAAGGCTGTTTGGATCTTACTTGAACATAACTGAGGTACAAACGGGTACTGTAGCGACTCGCTCACCACCCATTGCGCGCGTCTAGCAGCGATTGGTGGTTAGTTGGTCTAGGTATATGCCCTATATATACGAAGAAGTGGAGCCGTGACAAATATCACCTTGGACAACAACATTTCTTATACACTATTTAGTACGGTAAATATTGCAATATATTATTTATTCGGATGATATTCGCATTTGATCCGATCTAGTGTCAATTACGAGTTGCGGGCTCACCATACTACCTAAGATTGGCATTGGCGCAAAAGGTATCAAAATCGTCTGACAGTCTTGCTAAACCAAGGCACACTTAGCAACACGTATGCCACAAGCGAAACTTGTGGGACGCCCGTAAGCGTGTGTCTAACCTTGTTCTGCACAGTGTTCTTCCTAAACTATGTATCTCGGGAAATCAGCTTGGCGTTACAAACGACGATGCCGTGCATCGACGAAAATGCCAACGTGGCATTATTGGCATGCAGCCGCGCGCTTGGCACTTTAAGCTTTGACGCAGATGGCTTGGGGGTATGGACCATTATCTCGTGTCATTACGAGCCTTGTAGACATGTACAGGGCAGGCTGTCTGCTGCAATACTCACTAGTGCGTTGCACGACTGTTTATTGCAATGAGGCATAGCGTCCAAATGGTCGATATAGCATCTGAATCTATCGCATGTCAATGCGCCTGTTGTACCTTTCAAGACCACACAATGTTGATGGACTGACTAATTGAAGTCCCTCAATGCATGAGATATGCGCTGTGAGGTCTATCAGTGATCGCGCTATGTTTCGCAGTTCGTTTCACAGACTCCGTGTCCAGCACGTTAAGGTCCGCCACAAATCGATCCACTACGTCATGTTGCATGTGTACGCGCATCATACGTGCGATGTGGGAGCCAATGATGAAGGTCTGAGTCGATCGATGGTCTGCTCGAAACAAAGAGGTGCTGGAAACTTCGTTCGGGAGCTGCACCATATCTCATTGTCCATAGAGCACTGGTTTCTCACAACTGCGTATTTAGAGCAGCAGCGGCTGGAGCTACCTATCTTCGACGTACGCTCGCATTGACAGCGCTGATAGCGGTATCCTTTGTTGTGATCCGAAGCAAGAAGACGCTCGTTTCGAATCGACCCGTACTTTGCCATTCTACAAAGTGTGAAAGGGCGTGCTCCATATCAACAAGTACGAGTTTCTGGTCGACTTTACTAGAATCTTCGGCTGCACGTGTTCAAAGATGGACGCGTTGACAGAGCGTTCGTGGTGCGCCATAGGTTCGCTTTCGATACTCGCGTCTTTCGTGCGCGCACGCCACTATTTCCCTGTCCACTCACGACCTCGTGCTACTTTTGCGCACAAAAGTATACATCGTGTGTACCACCTCTCAACACTCCACGAAATCCAGCGAGTAGAGCAGACTTTCGAGCATAGTGTCCAGCCACTCTCGTGACTTGGCACGACCACAGCCGCCTCACGTGCCCAGAATGACGGTTCGTCACCTTTTCGTGATCGCTCAATGGTCAACTAATAGTCCACCCCACCAGCTTCCAGCTGCTACGATCTTGACATTGTCCAGTCAAAAGATCGAAGAGCAAGTGCGTGTACTGATGTCAACCTGTTGAATGTGCGGTTGTTTATGGCCTTGCAATGATCACAGGTGGTAGCTGCCGAGACGGAGTGTGCTCAAGAGACGCCCTCGAGCTCCAAAAACGTGGACAAACGCGTGCCTAAGGACGCAGAAGACGACAGCAGTAACGCTGAGAGCGACGAAGAAAGTGCCGATGCTGAGGGTGACGGACAGAACGACTCGGTAGGGGGGACTGAGGATGATGCAGGGGACAAGGAGAAGAACACGGATGAAGAAGAGGAGGAGGAGGAGGAGGGAGATGATGATGAAGATGGCGACGATGATGATGACGATGATGATGGTGGGGATCAGGAGGAGGAAGTGGGACTGTCGTACTTGTACACGGACTTTGAGGACGATGAAAAGGATGGGGACTTCAAGGCGGACACGGCAGCTCGTGAGGATGACGACGACGACGATGACGAAGAAGCTGGAGACGAAGAAGATGAGGAGGACGAGGACACTGGCGTGTCAGCGGAAGACGATGGTGATGACGAGGAAGAGCAGGCCGTTGCAGCACACGATGACGAGAATGGCGATGGGGAAGAAAATGAGAGTGGCGAAAGCGATGACGTGGCTGGAGACGAAGAGGAGGGCGTTCCGCCAGGTGGGGGCGATCGATCGGCTTGCCCATGTGTTGCTCTTGCTGTTGCTGTTGTACGCGGTACTCACTCTCTTTCGTGCTTGCACAGCCAAAAAGCAAAAGACCTGACCACTTGCGGCATCAGCGAAAGAATAGCGAGTTGGCCAGCACTTGGCTTTGCCTGCGAGCCAAGCGTTCACTCGTCTGTGCGCAATACACGATATAATGATACGATAGTTCCTGCAGTTTCATGACAATCGCCAGAGCCTCTTGGCCCACGCAGCCCTTTTCCTTCGTGCCTATCGCGTCGGCATCTTTGGATTATCCTGTATTCTTTGCATGGTATACTGCAAGTGGCATTTCTGCTTTTCCAGCTACTAGCGCTGTGATAAGCGCCAAGTATAGGGCTTCTCTCCTGCGGCAGTCAGCTAGCTATCCAACCATGGTGCGCTTGCGGCCCCGCAAACGCACTTGAGAAAGTTTCTGGAAAATTGCATCAGCACGACGGGATTTTGCTCGATATGCCCGCAGCACTTCTTCCACCTGTTGTAAAACACCACAACGCAACACAGCGTCAGCGAGTCGGCTCCGCTCACACGCTGACAAACATCAGCCACACACCAAGTGCTCCGAGTTGACGTGTGTGCTAGCGAATGCACGCTCCATGACGTAGAGGTCAACGGCCTTGTCTTCCGGTAGCGGCTGCGAGTTGGCCAAGCCAAAATCAATCATTGTCTGCGTCCCGCCACGCAATCAGACTTGTTCAGCCTTGTGCCTTACACAACCACATCAGGTTCCAGCACTGTGCACGTACCACATCCGTTGCGTCGTCGCTACTGAGCATCATGTTGGACGTCGTCAGGTCACCGTGGACAATGTCAGCATCGTGCATCTTGGCAATGGCTTCCCCGATCTGGTAGGCCATCTTCAGGGCTGAGGGACCATACTTTGGGTCTGCGATATGTACAGAGCGACGCGCATGTCAGTAAGTGCATCTGTATGATGAACAAGTCCCTTACATCTATGACGTGCGTCGTACCGCGCTCGAAGACCCGTTGCAAGTAGTGTTTCAGACTCCCGCCCTGTACTTTTTCCAGGTACAGCCGACCTTTGTCTTCATCCACGAGAAAGAGAACGGGCGTGAGGACGCCCGCACGACGGCATTTCAGTATACAACGCGCTTCTTGCACAAGACGGCGGTGCGAGAGCTTCTTGTCGAGCACCGGGAGGCGGTAACTCTTCTTGACGCGCTCCTTGACAATGCAGGCGCGGCCAGCAAAGTCCGTCTCGAAGAGTTTCTAGTGCGTCAGTCGTCATGCAGAGCAGTTCGTATGGTCAATTGTGCCTTGTCAACAGAAGTGGTACTGGAAGTGTCGAGGGTCGTACGTACGGCTTCGGCGCCTTGGCTGACGAGCTGCCATTGGGACTCGGCCATTCGAAATGGACTTAGGCCGACACGAAGGTCAGCTTTAAATTCGTGGATTGGTGGGACAAAATGTGCTGTATCTGATCGATACTTTGATTGAGGTGGTGTCACTGATAGAAGTCGCGCTATGTCGCTCGATAACGCTCGCTGCTGGACCATTGCTGGGAGTTACATAAACGTCCGCTTTGTGTGTGCGAGGGTGGGTACGGTTCGTGGCCGAGCCAATAGAGGTTCGAGAAACTCATGTTAGCGGCACACACGCAGCTCACAGATCGACATCTGGAAACAGCGACAGGCATGCTGTATCGAAAAGGGGCCGAATAACGAACTCTAACACCAGCTGGCTGAGATGCTCTATTCGAGCGCTCCTCGGTGCTTCCTGTCCTTTGTTGTCCCTAATCGGTGCAAAGGACCACTCACCGTTTCGTGGCGGTGGAAACCGGTTTCTGATGCCGATGTCCCGCTCTCACTCCTGGCAGAACTACTCGGCCACATCGCTCCATTTGCGAATTCGTCATGGGTCCCCCACGTGGCAATCAGTGGGACACCCGCAAGACAGTTCTCGTGACAATTGGACTGCTCCTTGTGTCCTATTTCATTGTCGTGAACGTCTTCTTCTTTGACTTTTCGACGCAAAGTCCTTCGCATTTGGCGTCGCAGATGAACGCACCTGCGATACTGTCGGGCGAAGTGGACAAAACAGCGCACAATGGGGTGGACACGACTGCTATTCGAGCTACGAAACTGATTATGGAGCCACGGGCAGACCGCAAATACGTGTGGCTTGATGTCGCCATTGACGATAAGTACGTGGGCCGCGTTACAATCGAGTTGTACGCTGAGCAGGTGCCCAAGACGGTGGAGAATTTCCGAGCTCTGGTCACAGGCGAAAAGGGTTCCGAGTATACGTTCAAAGGCAGTGTGTGCCACCGCATTCTCAAGAACTTTATCGTCCAATGCGGCGACTACACTACTGGCACAGGAACTGGAGGGCGCAGTATCTACGGCGCTCAGTTCGATGACGAATTCAACGGACTGCGACTCAAGCACTCGAAGCGATATTTGCTGCAGATGGCGAACGCAGGACCCAATACGAACGGCAGTCAGTTTTGCTTCATGTTGAATGCAGCACCGCATCTCAATGGCAAGCACGTGGTTTTTGGGGAAGTGGTTGGTGGGTTTGACGTTGTCGACCAGATGGAAGAGGCAGGGGTGGAAAAAGACGGCGTCCCGCTGCAACACAAGGTGAGCTTTATGGACGGCGGCGAGATTCTCTCCTAGGTGGCGATAACGTGCATGGAGCATAGAAGACATCATGGTATCATGTTTGGTGTAGTAGGGGGAAACAATGGTTTATTGCTCATCGATTGCTTGTCGATCGCTCGCTCGCTTCGTACGTGTTTGTTTACGGAAGATGGCCCATAGCTTCAGCAAAGTCGATGTAGTCTCGCATGGACTCTTTCGAGGAGACGGGAATAATATCACAAAGAGCCTGGTTGAAATGACACATGCGAACGTTTTTTGCTTCTAGCGACTCACGAAGAGCGAGCAGCGCCGCTTCACGACACAGATTCTGCGATTACACAGCAAAGCGTCACGCATGTTGGCAACATTGTTCGATAACAAATAGCGCCAGGCAAGCAGCATCGTACCTCCAGTTCGGCTCCGCTGAAATATGGCGTCCGGTTTGCCAGGTCGATCATGTCGACATCATCATGTAGCTGCATCGGACGGGAGTGAATGCGCAGAATATCAACACGGTCAGGCTCAGTCGGGAGATCCACGAACAAGATGCGGTCGAACCGACCAGGCCGCATGAGTGCTGCATCAATACAAGCTGGTCGGTTCGTCGCACCGATGACCAAGAGCCCTTCCGGTGACTCGACGCCGTCCATTTCGTTGAGCATTGTGGAAAGAACGCGCATCGCAGAGGAGCTAGTCCCCTCTCCATCGGTCGACCCATCGAAGTCGCGCTTTGCAACCATCACGTCGATTTCGTCAAAAAAGACAATCGCAGGAAGTGCGGCACGTGCATCACGGAAGACCTGACGGACCGCGGCTTCAGCATCGCCAAAGAACGGTGAGAACACCTGGGCCGCCGAGAGCGAGAGAAAAGTGGCGCCACTTGAATGAGCCGCTGCACGCACAATGGAGCTCTTGCTGCATCCAGGCGGACCGTAAAGCAGTACACCGCGTGGAGGTTTGACGCCAAGACGGGCAAAGGTCTGCGGAAATTTGACGGGCCACTCGAGTGCTTGCTGCAACGCGAGCTTGGTTTTTGCCTGACCACCGATACTTTCCCATCCATGTCGTTCAAGACCCCTCCTGCCAAAGTTTTGCAACACAACTACAGTCAGTCCACAGAACCTCCACACGGTCGAAAGAAAGAAGCAAACAGGCATTGCCAGTCAACACTGACATGAATCCATTGGCGCTTCGAAGAGCTGAAGGCACGATGGTCTGCATAGCTTGGTCAAAGTCTGACATAGTCAGCTCGAAGCGTTGCGCTCTCTTTGCTTTGCCTCTATAGTGACATGAGGACACCAAAGTGCGCGTCTGCTCAATCCCTAGTAGATCACTGAAAAAGCCTGACTGTAGTGCTTGTTGCTTGTCATCCGCAACATTCTTGCTAGCATCGCAGTGCTGCAACTGCTTGACAAGAAACCATAGCGGAATAATTGCAGCAGGATTTGCATGCCACGCTCGACCGGCGACTACGGAACCAAGCGCTGTCAATGAGTTCTTGTCAGCACTAAGAGGCTCTGCCCTCCGCTTCCAGTCTTCCCACCACTGCTCGAGTTCACGGTCTTGTGAAACAGCTACAAGCTGCCGTGTGGATGCTATCATAGCGGCTTCGCGACACAGAGCAGCAATATCAGCGCCGACGTAGCCGATGGCCTTTGCGGCCAACGTGTCGAGAAAAATGTCACGTATCTTTTCCGCATTTCCCTGTGATACACTGCCGAGGGCGTAGGGTGTTTGACGAAGATTCACGCGAAAGATTTCTTTACGCGATGCTGCGTTCGGCGTAGGAACAAAAATCTCGCGGTCAAACCGCCCCGGTCGACGCAACGCGGGATCGATCGAGTTCGGCAGATTCGTCGCCGCGACTACTACAACGTTCTCCCGCGATAAACCACTCTCTACACCGTCCAATAACGTCAGCAACTGAGCAACGATGCGGCTGTGCGCAGACGAGCCCCACCCTCCAGTAGCTTGTCGCTTCGGACACAGTGCATCTACTTCGTCAATAAAGATGACGCTTGTACAGTGCTGGGCATTCCGAGCGTGGACCATTGCCTTCTCAAACGTCTCGCGCAAAGCTTGCTCCGCATCACCGCGCCCACTAGTCATGAATTCCGATCCATTGATGACTTGCAGATTTAGATCCAACATGGCGCCGGATGCGTCCTTCATCTCACGACACTCATGTACGACCGAGCGTACGAGGAGTGTTTTGCCGACGCCTGGCGGTCCACAGAGTAAGACACCCTTCGGAAACTCAACGCCTAGATCCGAGCGCAGTCGTGGATGCGCAAGCGGCAGAACGATCAGCTCACGTAGAGCTGCTCGCTCTTTTTCCATGCCCCCTATGGTAACGACTTCGTTGTTCCGTCGCGATCCTACGTGTGTCTTATCCGCGTCACCGCTTGCATTCTCTTCCTTTTTCTCGGCATCCACTTCATTGCATCCACTAGGCGCTGTGAATGTGACTCGGGTACCGGACGTTATCCGCACAAAGGATTGCGCGGGGTACGTTGAAACCACACGGAAGGTCATCAAAAGCTCCTCTTGCTTCGTCGTGAGACCATCCAGCGTCGGAAGTCTCACCCTCGCGTCTACACATACAACACAATTTCTCTGGATTGTCTGCTGCAACAATGAGCGCGTGTCAGCGTCACGCAGTAGTTGACTGTGCTGATGCTTGGACATTGGTAAAGCGTCTAGCTCTAGCGTCACCGCCACAGCGACACGCACTGCTCTCGAAGCGATGTAATACAGATCATTGCTCGGTCGTGTTCCACTGTCACTGGAATCGTTGCTCTGGACAAGAAGAAGTGGCTGCAGATCACAAAAAGACCGCAAATTGCGCTGGATTGTGACGGACGCATCGATCTGATACGGATGTTTGACGTCTACGGCGCCCAGTGCAATGCGGCAGACGGCAAAAAGACCGTCACCAATGTCGCACAAAGCATACTGACCAGCTCCACTGGGTCGTGAGCGCAGAAGCTGACGCGAGACTCGGCAGCGGCACGTGAAATCAGCCGTCGCGGTGCCAGGGCCATGAATTGCCATTGGATTCGAATATCACGTTAGCATGAGCGTTTCTCCCGGTTTTGACGACATCGCTATCGCTATATTGTCTCTCGGTTGCGATATTGTGAGAAATGTTGAGGTTTACATTGTGTGTATCACCAAAGTAGCGTCTGTCACAGTCAAGACGTTTTGATCATATGAGAGTTGCGAATTTGCGACGCCATAAGCTTATCATTGCCCAAAAGCTGTTAGAAGAAGAATCTGCGATTTCTAGCTCGTTACAACAACACTATATGTATGACAAGTACAAAGGACTCCAATCTCTGTACAATCAGTCGATAACTGGCTGGTAAGACTGCTTAGTCATTGCCACACGTGGGTGGCGTCGAGTGTGTGTTGTGCTATATACTGAGCCAGCGCTTACTGCCTTGGCCAAAAGAGATCGTTGAAATAAGTAGAGGTCTCAGTTGCCAGGCCCGTCTACCGTCTGATGCTATTTCGATTACCGCAAGAAGAGAAATAGAGCCATGGTAATGAGATACGCATCGAAGAGAAGATTGTAAATCACTTTGAACTATTGACGGGTAATGGAGAACATGCGAGTTTAAGCATACGAGGATTCAGCGCACTACGTTATTGATAAATGGAGTGTTTCAGTCGTCATAAAAGCCACTGCCAAGTGTGTGTGGTGGTAGTGGCGATATCCCAAATATGGAAATACACGCTTTGCTCAGATTTGCTGTGGTGGACACAATCCACACAAGCGTATGCGCCTCTGTCATCTTGATCCACATCAAACATGTGTACCTTTCCCGATGCAAACCATTAGGGCGTAGCTGTAAGTTCTGCACACTCTAGATGATAGCAGAGCTTTTCAGTGGCTACTTTCTGCGTGTCTGCAAGTCTCATATATTGCACCGTGCACGTCCTATCAGGTGCTATCTAGCAGATACTAGCTACAGGGAATATAACGCATAGCACTCAAAATACTTTGGTGCAACATGTAGCCATCGCTCAAGAGTAAGTAAGCAATATGCAGTCACGCACGGGTTTGCCTTACACACAGTGAAAGATGAAGCGCATAAAAAGCAAATGTCTGACGATTTTGAGCAGCGACGGTCTTGCGTTTACGACACCACATGGTCATCAGCATCAGCCCCAGCAACGTCTGATCCACCATTACTATAAGTTTTAGCTGACTAAGCAGCGGTTTCGCTGAAAGAGCCTGGAGAATGAGAAGATGACGAACTAACACATCAGAGTTTGTAGATATACCAAGTAGTACATGTCGTCGTTCGAACCAGCGACGTGCGCATAAGTTCCGCACTAGTCTTGCCTCATCTGAACACGACCGCTACTCATACCCGTCAGTAAGATGCAATTAAAAGACAAGCTGACTTGCCGGATTGAATCAATTGGCATCTACAGGTCACACGTCGCCCATGTCTTTATTTTACATATTGACAAAGTGAAAATTATAGTGTCGACATATGAATAAGAATCACGCATACCATCTTTTCGTGACGTGTGCCATGACGAATTACAAGAGCCAAGGACAGACGCTGGACCGTCGTGGTCGTTTATTAGGGAAGAAAGAAGGACCTAATGGTTTGACTTTGGACGCGCTGTCAAGAGTTCGACAGACTCGCCACTTGTAAGTCATCCCTTGCTTAATCGACAGACTAACAAATTTGGAGGAACCAGTATATTTGCTATTCGAACGCCGAGTAAGCAAAGACCGATCGTGTTGACCGTGCATATTCCAGTAAAGTCATACGCAAAAATAACGAGCTCATGCATTTACCTTGTGAGACGCCGATGTTATAAACTCAATATCCCGAAACAATCGATTTTCTAGACAATCGTACCTGTTCTATTTCTATTGTTGTTTGACGTATGTTCATTTATCCAAATGTGCAAGCTTTTGCTGTTTCCTCTGTATGAGAAGCATTTGTATTTGTCGTAATTTGTATTTGACACCTTTCATTTTTCCGACACGTGTGTAATTTCATATTTATTCTCACGGTTCACTACATTTTTTATTTTTTTTATTTCCTCACTAAAACGCAAGTAGATGACTTAAGTCTAAGATTATTCTGCAAAAATATTTGAATTCATCCATAATGGACAATGTGTGCTTTGTCATCATTTATTTGGCCAGCGAGCTACAATTTTGTAAAAAAGTGCCGTTCTTGTCCATTTATTGTCTGCTGGTGGAGGAGGACCATGTACCGACGTCTCGTGCGTCGATGGAGCTCTGCCGCCAAGTCCACGACAAGCTCCAAGGCCGCCCCCCTCCTGCGCACACGACCGTACACGTCTCTACACGCCCGTCAGCGCCTGGTACGTTGCGCGTGACCAAAGGCTACGGGGCGGCCAAGCACGAGGCAGAGCTGGACTCGACTCTTGCGCGCATCATTGGCTCGGACTGGGGCGACCGGTCGCACCAATCGGTGTCGCTGCCCATGCGCCTCTACTGGATCGTCTTTGCGCTCGTCCTCGGCAACGGAGTGTACACGTTTGTTGCCGGGAAAGACGAGTCGTTTCTACTCGAAAAGCTCAAGAAAAAGCTGGACGAGACATGGGGCGCGCACGACGAAAGGGACGAGTTTGCTGAACGAAACGAGACGCACGAGACGTCTCTTGCAGCTTCTGATGCTGTGTCTGCTGATTCGATGGAAGGGACGGGGTCGGTGACGCTGGCAAAAGCGCCGTCGGCTTCGGTGCTGACCGCATCGTCTCGTGGGACAATGGTGCCGGTCTTTGTTCCACCGGGAATGTCTGTGCCGTCGAATGCACGTCAGTCGTTGTCCATGACAGAGCTGGAGCAGCAGCTTGTGCAGCTGCGCGTGCAACAGGAGCGGTTGCAGCAAGAGATGCGTAGTGGGGAAGGAGCTCTGACGGCAGAGGAAGCGGCACATCAAGTGCGCATGCTAGACATACAGAAGGAACAGGTGAAGGCAATGATGAAAAGCCTGTGATTGTTTTCGCCGTTGCGACCAACGAAATGGAGTTTGTTGGCTGACGTTGAGTGGAGAGAACGAGTTTACGTGTGTTTGTGCATGCTTGTGACAGCGATGGAGACTGCTCCACCGGCTGCAACATGAACGACTGTCTGGTTCGTATGTTGGAAGTAATCCACCTTGTCCAACGTCGCGCGGTTGGTCTTGTCGCCATGACCTGTCAAAGAAGTCAGTGTTGGTAGGTAGTACGAGCCGAACATACGAGTCTGACGTACCGAGGTTGCCGTGCTCGCCCCAGCCGCATGTGTACAGATCTCCTTGTTTAGTGACGACCATGGAATGCTCGCTGCCGCATGCAATTTGTTCGACGGTATGCGGAAACGCCACGAGCTGCGGCCCGCTAGCGCTTACAAACTGACCAAGACCCAACTGACCGTGACTTCCTTTGCCCCACGTCACGAGCTCTCCACACTCGGTGAGGCACATGACAAAGTGCCAGCCGCAGCTGACTTGAGTCGTGCGGAGACTTTGGATGGTGTTGCGTGGGTCGAGCACACGACAGGGTGATCCACAGACGTGTTTCCGATTCTCGTGTGGGTATGCGGAAGAAGAGATAGCTGAAGTCTCGCGTGCACCTAATTGCCCGTGTCGATTGTTCCCGCACGTCAAGACTTCACCGTTGAAGGTCCTAAAGACCGAGTGTTCCCATCCACAGAAGACGTCGGAGACTCCTGTCTTGTTGAACGCGTCAATACGCAGAGGGATAGCTGTCACCAGAGTATGAGGTCCCAGTCCAAGCTGACCATGCCGCCCGCTTCCCCATGCAAACGCGTCGCCTTCAGCCGTAGCGAGAAGACAGTGCTTCCAGCCACACGCAATGCTCGCGACTTGCAAGCGCAGAGGCAAGTGTTCGACCTGCGCAGTTTTGCAATCATCTGCCTTTTGCTCGCGACCCAGCTGGAACTGATCGTTTGGTCCCCACGACAAGACTCGATCGATCTCGCTCATCTCGTCGTCCGAGGTCGACGACGAGATGACTGCAAGCGTGTTCCACCAGCCGCACGCCACGAGCTTGGTTTTCTAACACGAACAAGGAAACCGAAACGTCAGTTATGGCAGACACTGTCACCTGATCTTCCAGCACGTCTTAGCCACTGTACGCTGTCGTGTGGTATGGATGCGACGTGCTGGCTGGGTACGTTCACGAACGTCCGTCCTGGCGCTGATGCCGAGCACTCGAGCTGGCCTCGGTCGTCCGATCCCCATAGAAAAAGCTGCCCATCGCTACTGATTCCTGACAAACTCCAGCAACGTGATGCAACAGCATTTTTTGGTACATAGAGCTCTATTCAGCAGCCAACCTGCACTGTGACAACCACCGGACGTGACGGACTCGGGTTCCACGGCCACCTGGTCATTGTCGGTCCAACGTTGAGGTAGCGAGTAGTCGAGCTCGGTGCCCAATCCGAGCTGTCCAGTACCTCCTGCACGCGCATGATGCAATGAAAACCCATTGATGCAGTCAGCCACTCAGCGCTGAGATGATGTACCTGAGCCCCACACGTACACGCGCTTTTCCATCGTAAGAAGTAGCAATTCGACAGATGGTAAGACGGCGAAAAGAGCGAATTGACGAATGACCAATGGAGTCGCACATAGCGCAGCATTGGAACGCAAATAATTAACTTCACACGATGGACATGTTTTACGATGTCTACTTGTGAAAGTGTAATGTTAAGACCTTACTTGGTAAGGATCTCGTTGTCTTTGCTGCAACGGAAGCCTAAACAGAAGCGCTACTGGTCCATGCAGACGGCAAACGGTCCGCGATTCAGTTGTGTGCGTGGTCGGCGAAGAGTACTGTTCTGCGCGACAAGTCTCGACATGGACCTTCCTGGTCTTCGTGCCTCTCAGCTCTGCACTTCTGCAAAAACAATGCTACACACCAACAACGTATTGCTGCAAAACAAAACTCACTGTTTCGAAGTTCGACCAGGTCTGACTACTGATCTGAACTCCGCGCGCTTGCGGTTCTTCCACCTTCATCGCGTCAGCGAACGCACTTGAGTGATGTCTGCCACATGTGTACAGATGATACACGTTGACGGGCGGTAAGCAGCCTGACAGTGACGCGACACCATGATGGAGTCCAAACCCACTTGCAGGCGCGTACAGCATGACTGCTATCCGCCACGTCCACAGCAATGTCAGGCATGTCACAAAAAGGAATGCAAATCAGTTTAGTGTCTTTATTTTCTACACGTTTCCTCGGTAACTGTTGGCGTATATGCGTACGTCACGAAACTAAAGTGTCCATTGCTTTACTAAATGATCTTCCTGCAAGAAGCTGTCACCACCTACTTTCTTTCTTCTCATTTGCCCATCTCATCACATTGGTGTTGTACACCTCTGTGTGTGAGAGACAGCTACACCATTTACAACAGATCCCATGCTGTACGTGTTCAAAACTTCTCCTCGATGATCACACGTCCGAGTTTGGTTGCGTAAAGAGATACGTGCCTAGATCAAGATGAATACGTTTCTTCGGATGTATCAAACGCGAGGCAGGGGGGTTGACTAGCAGATGTGTTACCGCCGTATGTGCACTTCCTTCTCGGACTTTATTCATCACTCTCTGAAAGCTTGAGATCAAGTCACGCACACATTGACATGCTTTGCACTCAAACTACTACCCTCTGAGTCAAAGTACCAGATCGCAGCCTGAGGGATGTCTGATACGCTGGATCCGTTTTTCTGCTCCTTCATGTTACACAGTGTGAGTACGTTTGACTCACAATTACATATTACTTAGCTTGGCTATTTCTTGCGAAAACAACTTGCTTCCTCTGCTGCAATTATCGGACATAGCAACTTGGTTCCTACATGCGGTGGCAGCTATCTTGCCATTTGACACTCCACCTTGCTGTCTTGTCTGACTCGTCTTTTACCCTGGTTGTCTCGTCCCATATTATTGATCCTCTTTGTCTTGTTCCTTATCAGTGATCCCGTATGCCGACCTTGTCTGTCGAGTGGTCTACATACATATATGCTTATGGATCCCATCGTCACACAGCATCATTCGAGGTTTCAACTACTTCAACTCGGTCGCTTATTACACAAGCTACGTCCAGCGTTTTGAGCTTCGCGACGACGAACTTCTGGCCTTGTTGTCGCCAACATGCCGAAGTCATTCCAACTGATGACGCTCACATCTCTTCTGTCATTTTTCACCTCTGCATACTCAGCAAAAGCTTCTTTGTTCAAACTCATCGCAAATTTTACCCTCCGAGTTGCCAACGGTGGCGCTGTAAGCTCATCGCGTTTATTTGTGCATCGCAAGTACGTCTTGTGCATAAGCATTGCATGAGACACAATAAAGTCATGTAATGATAAAATTAGCCCTGCCTCGAGGATGCATCTTAAAATGTGCACGTCCATCACTCCTGTTGCTATCATCCTGTAGTGGCCGATCTCGGATGACCACCAGCAGCTAACTTGTATTATCTGTATCTAATCGAAATTGTTTGTGCTGTAGAAATAGGTTCTCAGTCATACCCCGGTGCCAAACACATAAACGTAAAACGCCTCGTGATTTTAGTCACTTCTTCAATTTTACATTTGGATATGAAACGGATGTGCCGGTAGTCACGTACTAAGAGCAGGACGAAGCATTCGGTCACTGACAATTGTGCTACTCAGTGCCCTTTCACCTGAAGTACGTACACAGAGGAAGGCTAACAACTAGCCGATGGTATTTCGGAGTAGTGACAGTAAAACTTGCTTAAATTTAAGTAAGTCCCCATTCCCTTCTTTTATTAGTCCTACCTCAATCAAATAATATGAGAACATGTATTGAGACGTCTTCTTATTACCAATTGCGCGCGTCAAGCAGCGATTGGTGAGTCAACGTATTTCATAATCAACAAATGAGTAGGTCCTTGGGTCACTGGTAGATTATCCCTGTATCTTGTGACACCTTACTAGAAACCCTTCAGCGTAATAATCCTAATCAATTTTACTTATGAATGACGCTACCATAAAACAATATTACCCCGTCATGATACCGACACCCAAATTTAGTAAATGTGAAAACAATGATGAGTCTTTCGCACATTATCATGCAAATTGATGTGTACAGTTGTCGATGTGCCGCTAGAAGAAAATGAAGTCGAAAAATATAAAAAAAGTGGCCTTATCGAATATGTGACGTAAATCGACATATGACAAAGTACGGGGTTTCAACGGCGGTATATTTTGGTGGCACAATCACAGTTCATAGATACGTATAATCGATGGTGAATCAGTTCTAAACATCAGTGGGACCAATTTTCGTCGATGGAAGCGGGCCAGTGTAAGCTACCTAAAAAGGAACCCAACATATTATCCGGTTGTGACGACCTTACACTCAACTTGGACGAAAGTTTACTACCTTTAATAAGTAAATAGACAACAACATCATTTTAGACTACAGTATAAGAGACAGGTTCCGGGTATACTGCGCTATTTAATAGATTGTACTGTTCACGCGTCAATATTTTTCTCTGTGGTTGATTGAACATCAGATGTAAAGACGTAAAAGTAATTCATAATAGCTAAAGAATACGATCGTAGGTCACTAAACTTATCTAATTATAAAGACGTTGTTCGAGACATGCCGACTCTTTGAACCAGTAATGTTCCAAGAGCAAAGAGTCTTCGTTAGCTATAACCTTTATTTGTCAAGCAAATTATGTGGCTCCGCCACAGCATGTTAGATACGATGAAAAATGAGGAGTATATCGTTATGTCTATGTAAAGGCTTGGTCCTTTCAGCACATGCTGTGCGGACCTTCCTGACACGTTCGAAGTGTACCTGTGTGGTAAAGCGAGCTTTCTTGAAAGGGTAGACTCAAGGAGGGATGGACCGGAGGGACAGGGGCCTCGCGATCGGAAAGGGACTGGAGGCCAAGGGGCCACAGAGGAGAAGCGGCCGTTGGGTTCCAGCCGTTGAGAGCGGCACCAATTCGGATCGTTCTCAACCACTCGTCGGTCGACCGGGCCACTCGTCGGTAGGTACGGCCGACCAAGGCGGCCTCGGTCAACCAAGGCGGTCTCTGTCACCCAAGGGCCGACCCGGTCACCCTTCGGTGGATACGGCCGATCAAGGCGACCTCGGTCACCCAAGGGCCGACCTGGTCACCCTTTGGTGGATACGGACGATCAAGGCGACCTCGGTCACCCAAGGGCCGACCTGGTCACCCTTTGGTGGATACGGACGATCAAGGCGACCTCGGTCACCCAAGGGCCGACCTGGTCACCCTTTGGTGGGCACGGCCGATCAAGGCGACCTCGGTCACCCAAGGGCCGGCCTGGTCACCCTTTGGTGGGTACGGCCGATCAAGGCGGTATCTGTCACCCATCGGCCGACCTGGTCACCCTTTGGTGGGCACGGCCGATCAAGGCGACCTCGGTCACCCAAGGGCCGACCCGGTCACCCTTCGGTAAATACGGCCGATCAAGGCGACCTCGGTCACCCAAGGGCCGACCTGGTCACCCTTTGGTGGATACGGCCGATCAAGGCGACCTCGGTCACCCAAGGGCCGACCTGGTCACCCTTTGGTGGATACGGCCGATCAAGGCGACCTCGGTCACCCAAGGGCCGACCTGGTCACCCTTCGGTGGATACGGCCGATCAAGGCGACCTCGGTCACCCAAGGGCCGGCCTGGTCACCCTTTGGTGGATACGGCCGATCAAGGCGACCTCGGTCACCCAAGGGCCGACCTAGTCACCCTTTGGTGGATACGGCCGATCAAGGCGACCTCGGCCGCCCAAGGGCCGACCTGGTCACCCTTTGGTGGGTACGGCCGATCGAGGCGACCTCGGTCACCCAAGGGCCGACCTGGTCATCCATCGGCCGACCCGGACTATCAAGATCAAGCGTCCCTGACCACTCAGCATAGTGAGTCCAGGCGTAAGGCAAGTACAGAGTAAAGGAGTTTAAAGGATAGGACATTATTAAAGACTACTCAATTTGCGATCGAAGCCACACGTCTCGTGGGCCAAGAAGCTTGTAAGTCTACCAACCTGTTCCGGACCAGGGATCTATTTGGCCCACCCGTTGAATAGACAGTGCTGGTAATACTCAAGTGCAAATAGAACCCCAGAAGGTATATTGTCCTGTAGGTTCGTGGAGTAGAACCCTCCCCAACTCAATCCCGCTATAGGAAGCGGTCTCCATACCCTAGTGGTAAGGGAGAGGATACATAAAGGCCAGGCGGTGGACACCCCTGAGACACATAAAGGCCAGGCGGTTAACACCCCTGAGACAAGCAAAGGCCAGGCGCTACTAGCCATGAGAACTCTGGTTATAAGTCCACTCTCAACCAAGTTGACCGAGTGGCTGCCCTAACTGGACCCCGACTGAAGCATATCCGCTCGGGGCACCCAAGGTCGACACACACCAAGACCGACATCTAACTCCATCGCCACGTCCTCCGAAGAGTGATACCCGCCAAGCCGACGGGTACACAAGGTGATTTTAAGATCCAAGCGGAATAGGAGTACCCCCCTCCTCAAGTCGGCAGTCCGGCACAGTGGGCGG